ATGGGCCGTAGGGTAAGTTGACATAATAACATATGCCAAGATACAATAGATTTTAAGTACACATAATTAATTCAAATCTTGTATAACTTTTAATAAATTTTAATAACTTTTAAAAATATTAGGGTAAGTTTACGCACATCCATTTATTCTTGGTGGAAGAMAACTTGCCCGTACTACACGTGCTTTGTGTTTTGATTAATAACTTATATTTTTGTTTGATCAAATTAAACATTATGATTCAAAATTGTGCATACCTCGATGGTAATTATCGGTTTTAATTCTTCATACTGAACATGGATTAATTTAATTGCGTCCTGTGCTGTAATTGGATCTACGGCAATTAATCCGCAGATTATTTGCCCAAAATTTACCACCTGAGAAATAGATTTATTATTTATTGCTCTCAAATCTTAAGAACTTTAAATTGTAAACAATAAGTGTATAATATATTATTATACTTTTTCTCTAGCGAATACATAATCATCTTTAATCGGCATTACACCGACCATATTGCGACTTCCTGGTAAATCTTTTTCGTCAACTATGGTCACCACGCCAGGTTGTGATAATGCCTCAGTATAGTCTACACTTATAATTTTAGCATGGGCATATGTAGACGTTTTAACAGCTAAATAAAGTTCATCAGAACGACGAGGTATATCATCACAATACACCGCTTCACCTATGATWATACAATAATTGTATAATGTATTTTAAAACTTTAAAAAGGTTGTATTTTTAATGTAAAAAAGTAATATTTTTTATTATTTGATTTTAGGTACTAATATTTGATTTTTTCAAGTAGTACAATATTTATTTATAAATAATATGTTAATTAATTYTATAATATGTATATGAATAAGTTAATTGTTAAGCTGTAAATTTAATAGTTAATGTAATAAAAKCTAATAATAATAATAAAAAAAATGTGTTACCTACCGGTAGTTTGTTGTATAGCTGATTTGTGAACTAATGGTTTACCAACAGCGTCATCTGGATCTTGAGAATTTGGGTCGATATGATAATATTGAGCGTATTTAGAAATATGTGTAATAGCGTTAATGCCGTTACTTAAATTGTATTCATCTATCATTTTCAAACTTAATTTATTACTCACGTAATGGTAAAATTTAAAAAATAAGCTGAAAAAATATAACATCTCGTACAAACATACAATATAACAAATAAATTATTGTGAAGATTTAATCATATTATTCACCTTAAAACAAGGCTTTTGCGATAAGTCACCATTCCTCCAGGGGCATTTGATGTCAGAGGTAAGTCTTTAAGTAACTCTAAATACACATCATCTAACAATGATTCTGACCATTCTCTGTTGATTATTAATGATTTTGTTTTTTGAGCAATGACTGCAGTAGCTGACATCCCACCAAAAACTAACTCTGCGTCTTTTACAATATTATTTGACATCTCTACATAAAATGCAGCATTTACCAAGGCTATGTCATCTTCTTTTCTTCTCGATTGTTTAATCGATTTAAAAAATGTATTCTAAAACAAATTTATAAATTTTTAATTACTGTAATACAACACTATTTCATTAAAAATGTGTACTTAACGCTTACTTTCTGTGTAAATGGAATAAACAAATCTATTACAACTTCATCTGGTTGTAAAGCATTTTGTCGATAACCCGTAAAAAACGTTTTATCCATTTTAAAAAATCTTATACCGTTTTCTAAAATTAAAACAACATTAAATTAACAAGATTAACCTACAATTTATTAAAATATAAAATGAGTTATTACTTTTACTCTGTACTTTTAACTGACAACGAGCAGCTATAAATATTGGATTTAAATCCGATATAGGACTTCCCGTTATAATATTTCCGGCTATACACTAAAATAAAGAGTAATGAAATAAATAATTATAATTTAATATATAATCATTATAGTTAATTACAAACGATAATTTTAAAATGGTGGTGAACTTACAGCTACATTACGAATCTGTTTACTAGCAAACCATGGTATCATCTCCAATATAGATTTTATTATTTGAATTTTATGATCTAACAATTTAAAATCACTTGATTACACGCTGCATAGTTAATAATGATTCATATAAATCGCTTACCAGGCATAATATCTAAAAGTTTCTTTAATTCATTTTCTAATTTGTCAATAGTTACCGCAGCTCCAACAAGTATTCCTTTTATACACTTTTTAATGACATTTAATTCTGGCACCTTATTCGGTTGTATCATCACTGGATATTGACAGTTTTTGAATTTTATTTCAACTCCTAATTTTGAAATTATATTGAAATATTTTCCRTGTAGTTCTATTTCATATGTATGTATACTTTACCGACTTCAGTATTTCCGACAATTATCCGAGCATAGGGATACTTATATTTAAGTTCCAACAGTTCCAAAATTGATGTCGGTCGATACCATGTAGTCTTTTTACCTCTAAATATCAAATACTCTTCGTCGTACTCTTTTGTAAGCTACACRCATATAATTAAACATATCTTTATATACAATATGTAATRAACTAATAATTAATAAAATATATTATTTTTGTTTCTCACTACAAGTTCAGGAGGAAAAATTGGTTCTTGAGAAGGATCATACGGTAAGAATTCGGATGAACTGGACATATTATCCTCAGTATCATTTTCAATTTTTTTAGTTTTCATACAACATTTATTTCCCATGGAACATCCATTAGAGATTTTATCACAAGTAGTCAATGTCATCAAACCTTCTAAAATAGGTCTATAACCAGTACACCTACACAAGTTACCTGAAATACAACAGTCAGCAATAAAAATAACGCTCTAAACAGCATAATTTAAAAAAATTACATTTACCTTGTAAAGCAATTTCTAGATCACTTTCATCTGGTGTTTTTTCTARTGATCTGAGCATGGCATATACAGACATCACAATACCAGGTGTACAAAAACCACATTGCGATCCATGATTTTTCGCTATTCGTTCTTGGACAGGGTGTAATCTTGTTTTTGTGCTACCTATTCCTTCAACAGTTATTACAGCACACCCGTGTATGCTGACTACAGGACACAAACAAGCATTTACAGACATATGTCTAAAGTTTAATTAATTAAAGAGTTTTTATGTTTATAAATAATAATATACAAGTGTACATTGTACACACAGTAGCTATTTATAAATAATATGAATTTAATATGATCGWTCATATTTGAGTATATTATCAAAATTCAAAGGATACAATGGAGACTTCTTGACGTAATCATATTTTGATACCATTACAGTACAAGCTCCACATCCTCCTTCAGCACATCCCARTTTAGTTCCACACAAATCCACTATAGTAGTGAAGTTAAGAAATTTTAATTGGTAAAATTTATCGATTTTATGAAGCTGTTTTTCATTTTAAGAAATGAGGACAATGATTTAAAAAAGGATACATTTATTTCTTAAATAATAAAGCAAAGTCCAACGTGGATCAGCTTTTGTTTCAACAACCTGTTTAATAAATTTCAAAAAWTTTTCTTACAAATTAGGTATAATTTGCTTAATATAAATATATTTTAAAAGGAGACRGTTATAACTATCATGGTACACTGGTTAGTCAGGTTATGCATAGGTAAATTAATAATATGTATTACTTATTSTTATCGGAGTTTCCGTATTGTGATTATTAAAAATAGAYAARAAAAAAAATACCTTTTCCAAGTATAATAGTACCTATCCTACTATTAATTATTTGCATAATTTTTTAGTTTTGTTGAAAATCTTTTTTGATGTATTAATATTACCTACAAATAACAATAGATAAAATATGTATATCGTATAAGGGATATAGYCAACACACTGCAAATTATATTATCAACTATCTTATATGTAATAAAAATATTTAACACTTATTATGATAAAAGAAATAATAACTGGTTATAAAATACTGGGAGAAGAAATTTCGAGTATACGATACCAGAAGAAATCAAATCCAAACGGAAAAATATTTCAAAAAGTGAAAATTCAAATGTATAAAAAAAATTTGTCATCTATTTCCAAAAAAAAATTATCTAAAATGCATACATGTACTGTAGAAAAACGACTTCCAAGCAGATAAAACAAAAATCATACAATATAAGCATACCTACTAGCCATAGGCGCAAATAGGGGGGGGGGTTTAGAGCCTAAGCTCCAAAACATTCCCTAAATGTTGTTTAAAGCTTATTAAATATTATTAAAGTTGGGTTTTAGCCCCCCCAAATCTCAAACACTGTTTGCGCCTATGATACTAGCTCTAGACTTCATAATTTCGTATGATTGTATTTTGACACTTTGTACAACATAACTACTAACTATATGTAACCAATAGAGCACCCATTGATAAACTAATTATACAGTGGCTGCTAATAATAGACAAACTAATTATATKCATTTGTAACAAAACAATACATCCATRATGGCGTCAAAACTTAAAATTTCATCAAATTATATTTGATATGCACGAACTCATACAATTTATTTAATACAAATTATAAATTTTAGATGAATCCCTCAAACTAACACAAAATATACMTACAAGTACCTAAACAAATCTAGTACCAAAAAATATTATTATTATTTTTATTTATATAAAAGGTGATTAACCAAGCGTGCTCACTCCCATTTTTCTTCAATATAATGTAGCTATTCAAATCTGATTTGTAAATTCTACTTTTTTCTAAAAATCTATATTATGAAATTCGATTTTTTTATTYTATATCTGATCGAAATAAGTAAAACTTTAGCTTTTAATATACTATGTAGTGTTATAGTCGTTATAGAAAACTTACTAATGTATAATAGGTTATATCTATGAGTAATCCAAAATTATGATACATTAAAATKTTCAACTATTCAAATATTTAAATTTTATTATTTTATCATAACTTTTTTATGAAATAAAATTAATTTAAAAATTTATAATTTACCAATACCTTTTTACCGTTGACAAAAAATATTAAGGTAGATGTAATATTTTCCATTGTGCAGCTTTTGTATGAAAAATGCGTAATATGTACAAATTCTTGAATTCAGTTTACCTAATTCAAATAAAAGAATAGATGTAATATTTAATAAAAATTCACTTGTACTATAATTTCATATACATTCACTATTTTACTGAGAGCTGTTATTTATAATAGTTTTGAAAAATAWAAAACTGATATCTAATAAGGCTTCAGAAACCATAATTTGTTGTGTATTTTTTAAATTAAAAGATAGATAATACAATATCAATTTCAAACCTGCATTATTTGAACATTGTACGTCGATGAAATGTATCCTGTGTGTGAATACAATTTTGTGAAACTAAAAACAAAAAAACTTGTTTTCTTGCTAGACAAAAAAGTTTAGGACTGTTACTATTATATCAATAATATATATATATATTTTTTTTTTATTTGGAGGTTAACAAAAACTGGTTTATGTATATAGTATGTAATACAGTTATACCATAACCAAGATTTTATTCTGTAGAGTGGGCAGTGGACAGTAAAATATTCAAAACGTCATATTAGTATATTTATTAATTTATTACCTAACTTTTATACATCAAATGAATAAAATACATATATATATATATATATAAATCTATAGTGTATATACCTGAGATTTCTAAGTAACTACACCTACAGGTGCATAATATACATTATACAGTATGTAGGATTTGTTTTTAAAGGAAAGTATATWTATTAATGTGAAAATTTAGTCACGTATATTTTTAAGACAGTCGTTATAAATATTAAATATAGATAAGTAAGTTAATTCTATATATGTTAGGTTTAAATTTTTTGCATATAATGTACTATAATATAGCGTAGATTGCAATAACAAAGCATTTATATTTTAAATAATAGCAATAAATTAAGTTCTGTTACTTACGATGCATTCAAATAAAGAATTAATTATTCCAAAACTGCTTACAAAACACTGGGTACGTTACTAAGTAAATACATATATATATTATATATATATATATATGTATAAATACATTTTTTTATCAACAATAATTTACCCTCGGTGACATAGGCCATTGGGTTAATATATATAGTACTATAGAAGTATATACCTTCCTGCTGTAATTTATTTATTATAWTTTAAGGTTTAAATTATAATAGACATAATTTAATAATAATAATAAACTGGATTTTTACTTGTGAAATTCAAATAATAATATGATGAAATAACTAAATATATATTTTACTCAGTACATGYGTATTTCCATCTTAGTAGACAGTGTTTTTAACACTAATTGTATCGGACTACTGGGAATATTTCAATAAAATGAATTAGACAAGTTACCTATACTTTCAAATGAAAATATTATATTGCTTAACTTAAAATRGTGTTGTATCAGTACAAAATCATTGAATAAATAAATAAATTAAAACGACTATATAAAACTAATTTTAAGATAAATAAATAATTATTTGACATAATGCTTTAACGAATATTTACAATATTAAATTGTTTCATTTAAAGTTTCATTTTCGTTTACCAATGAAATTATGGAGGAATTAGGTTTTGTAGTTTCTTCTTCATATTCATCATCGCCTTCTAATAATAAATCTTCCGACACCGTTGAAGGTGTAGTTGTTGTTGACTTAAATAGCATTAGGCTAGGCTTAGGAGGTACTAACCCGACGATTTCAACCTATATAAGAAAATAGTATAAGGTATAACATAGTTTGTAAAATAATTTATTACGTAATATGTTTTTAATTAGGCACATCAAATTGTTTGATTAAAATATAATTGAATTTAACTTTTCAACAAATCATAATAGATATTATTTTATAATCTTCCCTTGGAAAAGTTACACGTACTTATAATTTAATGAACTGTCATTGCAGAAAAGCAAACTTGTAGCAATGGTAGTTTCTAGAAATTTGTAGTTTTAGGCACCAATATATACATAAATATTAATATATGTACATTTTGTTTTCCTTTGTTATTATAGTTCGGTATGTTGGTTCACTACTAGTTCACTACTATAGAAATTACCTTTTTTTTATCTACTTCACAATTTCGTCCAATGTATCCWTCAGCACAAAGACATCTATAATTTCCATCTTCTTCTGGGAGACTTACACACGTGGCTCCGTTTTGGCATGTGACATTATTAGTTTCGCAGTATTTCAGTTCTAAAACAAATAAAATGTAATTACTCATAATTCTGAAAACAGAGTGATTGTTTTTTCAAGTATTTACCTTGGTCGCAGAGCATACCACCCCAGCCAGGCTTACAATTACATTCCCATGGACGGTTACATGTACCATGAACACAGCCTGGGTATGCGAAACATTGGGTACAGTTCTTACCCCACCAGCCAACCTTGCACCTATAATTGATTTATTGTTWTTATTTTTGGTGTATACACCAGCTTAGGTAATTAATATTGGTAATTATTCATTTATAGTATTTATACATACCTGCATTCATTTGGCTTACGACAATATCCTCGGTCTCGATGACAGCCTTCAGAGCATACGGCTGTAACAAAATTTCTTTAATTTATAAGAAACCATTGCAATTTCATACACATTTTACTTACGTATCTGACATAAAATTCCTTGCCATCCTTTTTCACATTTGCATTCTAATGGTTTAGAACATGTCCCGTGCATACATCCTGGTAATGGTTGACATTCCTTGCARAGATCACCAGTCCAACCTAAACGACATCTGCATAATTTCAACAGACACGGTTATATAAAAAAGCATTAATTAATCGTGTTATTATAATGTTTGTGTTTAAATAAATTAAAAACTAACCTTTTTAAGAGTATTTTCTAGCATTATAAAAATAACAATTTTAATAATTTTAACTTGCACATTATATATTATTTGTAATATAACACCTCATCATAATTTAAAATTACTATAGTTATGACTATGACTGCAACATTATTTATAATTATGCAACTTAAACATTATTATTATAATCGTATGAAAAAGCATATTTTAATCCATTAAAMATTAAACATACAAATTACATAAAACTATAAAAGTACCTTTTTTTTATATCATACTTTTTAAATTTTTT